TTATATAAGCTTTACTAAGCTTTATAAGCTTCATTAAACCGCGGTATAACTTAACCATCCATAGAATAGCTTAAAATAATAACTTTTTAATAGTTTAATAAAAAGGTAAGTCAGTATACTAAGTATAATTATAGAAATAAAAGATCAAAATTAAACTTTTTGGACTTAATTTTGATAAGGTAAATAGCGCTACTAAATACGCTAGCTAAAAAGTAATTACTAAGTTTATCGAGATAAGACTAGTAGTAGACTTTTTGAAAAAGCTTTAGCTAAACGTAGCTTATATAGCGATATAGTTATATAATATAAGTTTACCCCACCATATAAGTATATAGTAATAAATACTATTTCACATAAGTAGTTTTACTCATATTTCTATTAGTACTAGCTAAAGCTTAAAGAGAAAGCTATAGTAAACTTATAGCTAAATTAAAGTGGGATTTATACTTATAGCTACTATTACTACTTACTAAATTTAACCTATTTAGCTATATATAATCAATAAAAGTTTATAACAAAACTCTCTCTAAAGACTAAATCGGGTATCTTATCAAATACTATACATTCAATGTATACTAAATATAAGTTTTATTCCTAAAGGAAGTATTTATAATATAAAATATAACGTTTCATAAGCGAAGGTACGTTGAAAGTATGTAACTTATGCTACCCAAAGTAAAAGTAGCTTTCATTATCTGTATACTAAGTAATACAGACTTTGTAAATGATATAAAGCTATTTGAATTAACGTAGCTTCATATTAATTTTACGAGTAATATTAATTAAATAAAATAGTTTATAGAAAAAGATTTAAACAAGCTTTTAAAAAGCCTACTAAAAGCTATATTGACTTTACTAATAGGAGCGTATATGATAAGTTAAGCTAAAAAGTTATAAACAATTTGCGCTAGTGATTTTGAAGATTAATCAGTACTACTAACTTCAAAGTTCTTACTCAAACTATAGCTACTACTAGTAGTAATAAAAATAAAAAATAAGAAAAAATATAGGTATACTACAAGAACTTTAATTTTATCAGGAAGTATATTTTTTATAAGCTTTTAGCTTTTATTATTACGTTTATAATGAAACCTAGATAGAGGAAATCAGCTTATATTTAGAAAAGCTGGAGTTTAAGTAAGAAGTAAGCTAAGCTACTATAGGGCTTTATTTCAAAGTACTAATTCTTAAAATATCATTGTTACTTATATACTACATACTATTTATTTTGAAATATGCTTCTAGTATAATATTTAAGTAAAACCTTTTTACTAATACTAAATTATTAATTATCAAATTCTTCATACGCTTTTAAAAAGCTCTATTAGGAGCTTGTTTTATAACTTATTAACTTATACTTCGAATGAAAAAAGCTTGTATACTTACTTTTACTATTAATTATATCTCTACTAGCTTGAATATACTTAATATAAGTAGGTTAACACTATTTATAAAGTATGGAGCTACTTTATTCTCGAAACTTATACTTAAAAAGAGTAATGAAGCTTCAGGGTTTAGTATATCATATGCCTCAAGAGCTTTTGTACCTTTCATAATTATTTTCAATAAGCTTTATGTTAAAAAGTACTACTACTATCTTACTTAAAAATAATGTAAGTAAGCTATTCTTTTTGAAGAAATCTTTATACTCACTTTATCAAAAGCGTTTTCCAGTTTTGTATACTTTCTAGTATTGAAAAATTAAATAGTCTTTTTACGCTTTAGTATCTTCTTTTCAAATGTATTTACCGCTACTTTTCAGTTTTTATAAGGAAGTAAGTTTTATTTATACAAAGTCTCATATTATAAGTAATTCTAAGCGCCTGTTTAGTATGTAAACTTTGAAAATAAATTACTTAATGATGATAAAAGTATTCTTCATTCTATTCTAGTATAAGTATTAAATACGCTAGTAATGCATATGAACTAGTCTTAAAGTACAGCTAAGAAAATCGTTTTAACCTAGCTTAGTACTATAGCTAAAATACTTATTACTTGAGCTTTAAGAAGCTTATATTCAGAAGATTTAGCTTAGTCTATTATATATCTCTTACTTATAGTGTGGAGGTGTGGTGTGGAACTGCGATGTCTGCTCAGTAGAGGGAACAGAACTATAGGCTCTTCCCCTCCCTATAAGTTATGGGAGAGGGGAGAGGTAGTAGAATATAAGTAGTTAGTTCTTTAACCAAGATATTTCTTTAAGAGATATTGTTAAATAATTTCTCCGATACACTTAACTACTAATTTATATTCCTCCTTAAAAGTAAGTAGTGCTTAGTTAGCACAAGGGTTATGGTGATCCTGTGCCTCGGCACAATAGCACTTCAAAAGTCTAATAAAGTAAGTGTTTTCTTAACTTTAATAATTTTAAAGCTTTGAGCTTTTATATATAAAATTTTCTTAGTAATACTAATTTTCTAACTTGATTAATTGTATATCAGCTTTTTATAAGTAAAAATAGTATACAACTTTTATAATTATTCTTAATATAGTAATAGAGGGTGCTAGCTCTTCTTTAAGCAGTTTCATAACTACTTGGAGTATTTAGTATAGCTTATTAATAAGCATTGTTATAGCTTAAGTTATAAGCTTTAAGTTAAATGTAGCTTTTACTTATTGGTTTATAATTTCTAAATAAAAAGCTATTTAAGATAAAGCTAACGTGGTTTATAATTAAGTCGCTAACCCAAGAGAGTCGCTTATGCCCTACCACTACATCTACATTAACACCTTATTATAGTTTTTTATTATAGTTAATAAACTATTATATAACACTAAATTGATTACTAGAAATGCTACTGTTACTTATACTATCTATTTTAGCTAGGTAAGTATAAGCGTTATATCTAGTCTGCTTGCAACACCTGCACCGCCACTTTCTTTGCACACTCTTTAACGCACTTTTACTATAACTATAACTACTACCTACCAATTTAGCTAATACTTCTTATACTTTGCCTATAGTTAGAGTTTTTTCTATCTATATATACTGCTGCTTATAGCTTTTACGCTTATTTAACTTATTAAGAGCTACTTAAATCGTACCTATTTCCTCTATTATAAGCGTTATTTTATATGCTATTTGCTAGGTCCCTATACTTAGCTACACAATCTACTTAGTAAGTAAATTAGTCAACGACTTATAGCATTTTCTTACGCTCTCTTAAATAAGACTAATTTAAGACTTAACTTCGCGCGTGTTGCGTAGTGTCTGCGCCTACTAGGTGGCTACTTATTATAGTAATTATACAAGTGTCTGCACTACTATATTAAGCTTAGATAGCATAGCCTATAGGGTGTGTAAGACTAGACTAGCGCCTCTAAAGCTAGCTTAGATATTCCCCTTTGTAATAGTCTGCTTAAAAGTAGGCTTAAAGGCTAGTATGAAGGTCTTTTTACTAATATAGTAAGTGTAGTTATATATCAAGCCTAAAATAGCGTTACTATACTTGCGCTTTAATAGTAAAAAGTAGGTAGTATTAACAGGCTATAATAAGTAAGATAAGTGCGTAAGTATGTAGAGAAGTATAATATTCTTCTTCTTACAAAGATCTCAGAAATTAATAAAGCAGTAGCTCTTATAGCTATTAATAACAAGTAGTTAATACCCACCTATAGTAAAGCTCTTCATATAGGTATTAAAGTGCTCTAACTAGGCAAAACTAAGCTAATTATTTATCTAGCTATTAGAACTAACTTTAACAACCTAGTTAGTAGGCAAATCCTTAAACTAGATATCAATAAGCACCTTACCTACAAAGATAACAAAGGGTAGTATTGAGCGACCTAACCCGCCTACGCCTTAGATTATAGTTACCTACTTATAGTTACCTAGTTGTATTTGCTTCTTTTTCCTATATCCTTTTAATGCTATATTTAATAACTATAATGAAATCTTACCTACTATAAAGCTAGTTTTGTTAAAGTTGTAGATATTGTTATCTATAATACCCCACTTCTACCTTATTACCTAGACTAAGTTAAACTAGCGCTAGATAGCTACTAGGTTCTTATAGGCGGCTTAGTAATAATTATAGAGATAGCTCTAGCGCGTATAGACCTTAGAAGTCCGCATAATAAATTTATTAACTTAGTTTTTACTAATAGGGTTGCTACTACGCTTCTCTAATAGTTTATTAGTTATCACTTAAACATTAAGCTTTATAGGCGCAAATCCTTATATAGACTCTTTAAGAATACGCTTAACTATAGTCTCCTCTTTTAGCTTATTTAAACGCTTTAATTTCAGCTTATAGTTGCGTTAAGGGCGCTTTCTAGCGCGTTAATTAGATAGAGTTCTTTATAGGACGTTATAGATAGTAGTAGCATAGTTTATACTTTAAACACGGTATAACTAAACGTGCAAAAGAGTAAGTTAAAGATTAGATTTAGAATATATTAATAGACAGTTATGTTGTTAAGACATTACGCGTTATAGTAATGAAGTTAATAGGCTAGTGGGGCGTTAGCGACTCGCTTGGGTTAGCGACTCACTTGTGAACCACGTTAGTAATATGTTTTATAGATTATCTTTCTCTATATTTTTGCGTATATATCACTTTATAGACGCTTACTAATCAAAAAGTAGGTCTACTACGCTACAGTACTAGCTTCTTACATTTTAAATCTATGCCCTACTTATTTTTAGCTATCGAAATAGCAAAGTTATCTAAGTTTTAAGATCTCTATTTTTTGAAACACTTTTTTTTACTGTCAACCCTATGCATCTCACTATTGACTAGAAATCTTATTATATATTAGCAGTAAACAATAGAGTATCATTAATACACTTTTAAGTTACTTAGTAAGTAGAATCTATTCTGAATTTACTACTTTACTACTAAGACGAGAACTACTTATCACTTTACTAATAACTAGTTTACTATAATTAAGAACTACATCTCAGCTTTTATATTCAACAGTCTATATATTTTTATAGATTTTATTCACCCAGATATGCTACTTATATTTGATTGCCTATAGCTATTTTATTTGTTCGTGTCACTAGTCTATAGTATACAACATACTAGGGGTACCTAGTACATGAAGTAAGTAGTCAGGCCTGTACTCCAGTGTAAGCTAGCCATACCAACAATGCCGAAAGTGTTTCAAAGAGAATGGCGAATCGAAAAACGCCAATTCCCAGGTCTTGAACGACAGCGCCAATGGCAAAAGGTAATATGGCTGCTCCGATTTGGCCCAAGGATGCGACAAAGGAGACGGCTGGGACATGAAGCTCAGCGGGCAGCAGTCGCGTGAGCACTACAACTCCAGAAGGAAATAATGGACCCATAACAAACCCGAGTACCGCCATGAGAACAACAGCCGTTTCTGGAGATGGTAAGACTGCAAACAGCGCTTCAGACGCCATGGCAAAGAGGAAGTAAACAACAGTGGCGCGTCGTACACCCAACTTGTCGGTCACGAACCCCAATGTTAAACGCCCAAAAGCCATGCCAATCCAGTAAGCTGAGGAAGACAGCCCAGCTGTGTAATGATTGGCATGCCGCTCACGGAGCATGAAAGAAACTACCCAGCCCGAAATTGAAGTCTCGACTCCAACGTAGGTAAGGAAATATGCCGCGCAGAGCCAGGTAGCGTGATGACTGAATATGGCCTTGGCATTAATCATATTGGAGTCATCCGTGCCGAGCTGCTTACTCTGACGATACACGGATGCGCTTTCATGCCGAAAAGCAGCGACCTGGACGATGAAGGATAGTGAGCATGCTCCGGCCTGGGAATCAGTCAGTGTGAAGCCATTAATGCGCATTACAAACTGACTAGAATAGAGTACCAAGTCCACCATGGGTGGTGGTTTGTTGTGAGGATGGTTAATAGAACTGGCCCTAATGCTCCGCCAACAGAGTAACTTCCATGCAGCAGTCCGGGAATGGTGTTGGCCTTGTTCATGCTGCCCGCCCACGCACACCAACTCCCATCCAACAATCCTGTTCCTAGCCCTTGTACTGCAAAGGCAACCAGCAGCCATCCGAACCCCGAGTGCGCGGCTGCAGTAGCAGTAGAGATGACCTGGAGAATCGGGCCTGCGATTGCGATGCCTCGCTGACCAAAACGGTAGTGAAGGGCGTTACTGTAGTGTGCAGCGAGCACATATCCAACGGGAACAGCCAGAAAGATGCAGGATACTTGGAGATCGGTGAGGCGATAGTACTTGGATAGGAGAGGGAGGACAACACCGATGGAGGAGTTAAAGAGGCCAAGCGTGACGAAGGAGTACATGGCGGCGGCAATCTTGAAGACCAGACGCCAGTCCATTAGCTCACAGTCTTGGTGTATACCTTGCTGCTCACTGGCCGTAGGGGTCACATGGTTGTGGAGAAGAGGCGAGTCCTCATTCGCCTCGGGTCGATGTGCCATGTTGTCGCGATGTGATGGGTTGGGGAATGCTTGGGGATGAGTTGGGATGCTGTCGTGGTGCAAGACTGCTGCGAACAGGTAAGCGCAGCCAAGCCATGACACCATGGCAGAGCGTCCTGATTGGATCAACACAAGGCCTGTCAGAACGATGGGCCAGCAGGACGAGGTGAAGGCTGATGCTTTGTAAGCAGCATCTACTGTATATTGTTGCAATGCTACGAACATGGACGTACATGGCTGCTATGAGCCGCCCTGGCGTCAAGGTACTGCACCTATAGTACAGTCGTCGCACGTCCTTGACCCGAGCCACTATGCATGCTGATAGCAATACCGTGCCTGCTGGCGAGGTGTAGAACGAAGTGGCTAGTCGTCGTCGTCGTCGTCATCCGAAGATGCGTAGCCGAGTCCGAGTGAAAGTGGAAGCGCATTGCCAGGCTTGGCCGGCGGGCTCTTTGCATGGCTACTCGAGCCGTGGTTTGTGCTCTGCTGCGTCGTCTGCGTCCCGTAGACAGGCACAGGCTTCTGCTCGTCAGGCGTCGGGCTCGTCTTTCTCAGCTTGACGCCCTTGAGCAGACGGGCGTCGGGCGCCTTCTTCCTCTTGCGCCCCGCGGCCGCCCACTGCCCAGCACCATGCTCCTGCGCCGTCTCGGGCTCATCATCGTCTTGCAGCCCGCGGGCCTGTCGCTCTGCCTCGTCGCGCTGCCGGCGGAAGAGGTGCAGTTGCTCCGACTTCTCTTTGCGCACCGCCGCCTCGTGCTGGCGCTTCTTGTCCAGGACCGAGTCGAGGTAGTCTGCCTCGTCGTCGTCGAGCGCAACGTGCAGCTTGTAGCGCGCCTTTTCCTCAAACTCGGCCTGCTTCTTGTCCTTGTTGGCCTGCAGCACCTCGTACAGACTCTTGCCGTCGTGCTGCTTGGCCAGGTCGGCCTGTGCGCGGCGCGCATCCTCGATGGCCTGCTGCGCGCGCTTCCACTCGTCGTCGCGCTCGGCCTCCTCGCCGGCATGGCCGCCACTGACAAAGCCCGAAGACATGGCGATGGACTCGCAGTCGTTGGCCAAGAAGGTTGAGCGCGCCCGTCGTGGGGACGGCGGCGGCGGCGAAGACGCGGGCTGGCTGGCAGGAAGCGATGCCATTCTGGGACTAGCGCCGCCGGAGAAGCGCGCCCCCACCAGCCCACCAGCCCACCAGCCCCCCACCTTTCCACTTCCACTTCCACCTCCTCGTCCTCTTCCCTGCCCTCTGCTGGCCTCGCCCGCAGCCAATTCGCGCGCTGATACGTGGCCCTTTTGCCATGCAGTTGAGCCGGTGCGTAATCAGGCTCGGGACATCACACACACACACACACACACATGCAGCCGCGGGCATGTGCATCAAGGAAGCTGGCTGGCTCTGACGTAGTCGACACGACGAGCGACGAGGGGCTTCCATCCATACTTAACATTCTGCCCCGCCTCTGCCACCCCGACGCTGTCCGTCTTTGTTGCAGTCGATTGCATGTTCCGGACGCTTGCAAAAATGGCCCCCAAGACCTGGACCAAGGAGAGCTTCACGGTACGTACAAGCGCACTCGACGGCACGTGCCCCGGAGCCAGACAGAAGCTCACCACACACAGCTCAACACGGGCGCAAAGATTCCCGCCGTCGGCCTCGGAACCTGGCAGTCCAAGCCTGGCGAGGTGCGTGAGGCTGTCAAGGCCGCGCTCCAGGGAGGATACCGCCACATCGACACGGCGCTGGCGTACGGCAACGAGAAAGAGGTGGGCGAGGGCATCAAGGACTCGGGCGTCCCCCGTGAGGATATCTGGGTCACGACCAAGCTCGACAACCCATGGCACAAGCGCGTCGACGAGGGCATCAACAGCTCGCTGAAGAGCCTTGGCCTGGACTACGTCGACCTCTATCTCATGGTAAGCTTGCTTGCCTCCATGGCATGATCCAAGCCTCGGCACAACCGAGGGCTGACGAACCCAACAACAGCACTGGCCTTCATCGACGGACCCAAGTGACCTCAAGAAGCACCACCCCGACTGGGACTTCAAGGACACGTGGGCTGAGATGCAGAAGCTGCCCGAGTCCGGCCGCGTCAAGAACATTGGTGTCTCCAACTTTGCCATCAAGAACCTCGACAAGCTCTTTGCCGATTCTCGCTTCAGCATCACACCTGCCGTTAACCAGATTGAGCTCCACCCCAACAACCCCTCGTAAGCAAGCCAGTTTCAGCTCATATATATACATGCAACCAAGGCTGACAGTCCACACAGGCCCAAGCTCCTCGACTACTGCAAGGACAAGGGCATTCACTGCACCGCCTACTCTTGTCTCGGCTCCACTGACTCCCCTCTCTACAAGAACGAGAAGCTCAAGAAACTTGCCCAAAACAAGGAAAAGTCTGTCCAGCAGGTCCTGCTCATGTGGGGTCTTCAGCGCGGCACCAGCGTCATCCCCAAGTCGGTCACAGCATCCCGCATCATGGCCAACTTCGAGCTTGACGGCTGGGAACTGACGGACGAGGAGATGAAGGAGATCGACGCTCTGCCTGAGCGCTTCAAGGTCTGCGGAGATGCTTGGCTCCCTGTCAAGGTCTTCTTTGGTGATGACGAGTAGACTTCTTTGCTTCACCCGTCAATCTTTACGTACAATAATGCCATGAATACATAACCAATCAATATGTAACCACGGAAGATGAGCCCCAATACACTAGCTACAAGGCCGGAGAGCACTCTGGATACTTGACTTGCCCAGCTGCCCCAATCGACTCTGGGGGCAATTGTTCGCCCAGCATAACTTTATGACAGTGTAAGGTATGGTGCCAGTCGTTCAAGTGACTGTCAATGTACTTTCTGACGGTAAAAGCTCGGTGCATCTGTCGCCACATATACATGCAATGCACACGATGATACTCGGTTGTAACGAACAGAGTGTGCTCTCCTGTAAGAGCTGTTTCTTTGGTCACTGGAGACGTCTTGTTGGGAAACTTGAAGAATTCCCATTCCTTCTCCGCCAAGAAGTCTTCCATTATCTTATCATCATAGCACTCTGGAAGTTGCCATGCGAAGCTTAAAATGTCAAATTTGCACCCTCGTTTCCGTGCCTCTGTAGGAGAAGATCCACAGTTTGTCCATTGGGCAGCGTAAGGCGACGCAGCATCTTCAGTTGAAGGCGACATGCTTGACGTGCATGCTTGTGGCAGATAGGACAGCGTCCAAAGAATCGAAACCAACAAACTTGTTGTAATGACCCAGCCTGCCACATTGGCATATTTGGTCAGACGCGCCACACGTTTTGCTGCAACGTCTGGCATAGGTACGGGCTTGTTGAGCTCTGCATCGGCCACAGCACTATACAGGTAGTTGCTTGTTTCGGTCATTTCCCAAATCTCTACTACCTGCTCAGCCTTGGTTTAAACACTTGTGCATGTGAATGTCACTTACTTGAAGGGACTTTGATTTAGCGGTCGAGGATCGAGTGCAGTTAGCACAGGGCGTGTGGATGCGAATAGACAGTGAACGCGAGAAGCTGTGCGCTGTACAAGTGATTCGACATAGTATTTAAGCCAGTAATGGGAAAAAGCAAATAGTGTGCACTGATGGCAACCATTCAAACGCGTGAACGCATCTCCAGTGGCGTACCTCGGGCTGACCACGATCCAAAGCGGGCTCGTCTCGTGTTCTTGATTTTGTTCCAGTGATCTGCTTATCCGCTAACATGATACAGGTGAAATGACGCTCTACTTGCATGTCATGCACTATGGTTCTCTGGAATCAGCTCTTGTTGTACGAGGAAAACGTGAAATCCTGCAACGCCCTCCCGCAAATCAGGTATTACTACGACAAACGAACTCCACCAGGGAGGTTCATTGTTGCCAGGACATAGAAGGCTAAACTATGCCCCCATCTCCTGGTCTGAAGATTTATAGAAGAGAGAATACGGGCTGGTAGCGCGTGTGGGTGATGTTGAGAGTAGCTTGTACTAGTCCCCACGTCCAGGTATCCCGATCAACCAAGTCATTAACATTCATCTCTGGTAATCTAGCCTATCCTTGGCCTAGCCATGCGCTTTTGTCCTCGTTGCTTTGCTAGCCACACTGCATTGATTCAACGATGCAGTTTAGTGTAAAATGCTACCTCTATCCACCTGATTGCACTTTTAGCTGCACATTTTAGCGCACCAGACGGCGATACCAAACCGGACGGCAGTCCACGTAAGGCAATTGTTGTACTGCAGGCACCGAGAAAATGTCCTGAACACATGAGTTTAGCTAACACGCCCAAAGCATGATGATTTGTGCACAAATTCTACTGCAGGTGAAACTCAGCATTCTAGCACACGAAATAAGCAAGCGAAACTGTACGAGTGAGATCCCGCATTAGGAAAGGCCGTGGCGTATATCGCCGACACGTATACGGAGGTGCCTCACAAAAGTTTTGTCCTGCCAAGAATAATTTAGCCGAAATCTGGCCGCTCTCCTACACAACGCCTATCTCTCCCCTCTATATACTCATTACCACCTTGTAGCTCAATTATCTTTGGAATATGTATAAGAATAC